CGGAGTCCTCGTCGTCCGAGTCACGATCGCGAATTGCTCTGGCAGAGTCCTTTAGAGCAGGTGTCTTCCTCCCAGAGTCAGGAGTCTGAAAAAGGATCCTCGGCTTCTGGGCAGAGACAGGCTCAGGCTTGCCCTTCGAGCGGCCAGAGTGGCCGCTCGACTTGGACCCTTCCAGCGAGCAGTCCTTCATCGAGTCCTCGTTCTCGGTCTCCTTCGGCTCCTTGTCCTTGCCGTCGTGAAGCTGCTTCAGGTTCTCCATTGCCTCCTGCAAGAGTAGGCAGCTCAAGAAGGAAACCAGGATGAATGAATCGTGCTGGCTCAGAGGTGCAACATCAAACTCAGGACAGGCTCTTTTGCGATCTTGCGACCACATGCTGTGGCGGTAGCATAACCCTGCATGAAATAAGCACTTGCAAAAGCTGTGCATGCAGAGGTGAAAGAGAAGAACGACCGGCTTCGGAGCTTCAGTCGATTTCCCAAAAAGGAGCTACTTCTTGTCCTTTTTCTGCTGTTGACCTCCACGAGGTCGCTTCCTGCCGCCTGAGCGTAAAGCCTCCTTCTCCCGCTTGCTCATTTCCGGGCCGGAGTCCGGGCTGTCGTAGGCGCTCTGGTGCCTGAATAATAATCGCAACTGCTTCAGGGGTTAAGAGTTTAGGGGTGGGTTTGGGGGATTAAGGAAACGGGGGTTTGTGGTCAGTACTTGGGCTAGCTGTGGGGAAAAAAAAACCAGTCCTGGCCTCCTCTTCTTCGGCGGTTCGGCCGGCTCTGCGGGCTTTCTGCTGCCAGAAGCCTGGCTGTTCTCCTCGGCAGCAGCCTTCACCTCGGACTTTGGCTCATCGTCCTGCTGGGGTTTCCGGGACATGTCGTTTGACGGCTTGATTTTTCTCGTGGGCACCACACGAGCAAAGATTTCCAGGGAGTTCTCCCGGTCCACAGGAAACTGCCCGACTTTGCGAACCGGGTGGTACTTCTTGTCCTCCTCCGTGGCCTGCTTGCTCGGCGGGATGTCCTTCGCTTCCGCGTGCTTGCCCACGTGGTCCTCGGCCTTGGCCTTGTTGCTCGCCTCGCCGCCTCTCTTCTCCGGCATCTTCACCGGCTCGGCGGCCTTGATCGGAGCCTTTGCGGGGACCTTCGGCTTGGGCGGCTGGAACTTTGGTGGCCGCAAAAAAGCAGCCGCCGGTGCAGGCAGGGGTGGCTCA